CCTAAACCCTACAACCCTACAGCCCTAAACCCGTGGGTTTAGGATGGAGCTCTGTCTTTTCGTGGGAACATGGCTTCTGACGGTTCCTGTGCACATCTCGGTTTCTGTGATGCCCGCGTGCGGCGTTCCTCCAAGGTTTGGCAGCTTGCTATTCCACCCAACCCTGATACGAAAGTCTCAGCCGTGGCTCTTGAAGCGGAAACTGGCTCATACCGGGAATTGTGTGTCGGAGCCCCCCGCAATCTCGCTCTGCTTTGGGCACCCTCCACTTATGCAAGTTGGCATTGCTATGACAGAGAGAATCATCAGCACAAGCGGGAATCGCCAACATCGGGTATACTAGTATTTTAACAACGCAATAAGCCCGAAACTTCTAAACCCCTAAACCAAAACCCCTAAACCCTAAACCCTAAGCCCCAAGCCCGAAACCCTAAACAGCTGCGTGAAGTCCTAACTCCGAGACAGAATTGTTCGGCCCGAGGTCTGCACCCGCTAACTGGTCCCTGTGTGCGGTTCGTGACCACCGGGGCGACGCAGTAGGTCACGTGGTGCTTGAAGTGCCAAGCCCTGCTTGGAGGCCCAGGGGACTTAGTAAGTCGGTTATAAGTAGGGTTATAGGGTTATAATTAGGGTAACTCCATTTAGGAAACTTATAAATCTACTTATAACCCACTTACTAAGTCTCCTGGGCCTCCAAGCGGAATCGGCAAGGCTTTTGGTTTAGGGCCGTTTTGGGCTTAGTGTTTAGGTCGGAGCAAGTGGTAATAAGGTCCTCTTTTCGTCTCTGATATGCGAGTAAGAAAGTATCGTCCCTATCAAACACCTAATATAATATAGCCCCTGATATACATGTGATGTGTTGTGCACCCCAAACTCTATCCAAGTTTCGGGTCTTGGGAGTCGGGAGGCAAGGGAGGAGACACATGAACCCTGAAAGCTGCTGAAGCCCAAGCTGCTCAATGCTAAACCCCTAGACCCTAGACCCCAAGACCCCGAAGCCCTACAAAGCAAGAAGTCTAAAGCCTACTACAGGGGTCTTTTTCCTCGAATTGGGTGTAGGGCTGAGGCCCTGTAAAGCAAGAAGTTCCAAACCCTGTAAACTAGAACTAATACAAGGGCCTTAAGATTTAGAATAGGGTTCCTCTGAAGGGTTCCCTCTAAGGGATACTATAGGGGTTTAGGGTTTAGAGTGTAGGGTTCAGGGGTTTAGGGTTTAGGGTTCAGGGGTTAGGGTTTTCTATAGAGGGGCCGTTTAGACTATCTTACAGCCCCGGCCGGAACCTTTGCATTTTACAACAGTACCCCTACTCGGAGGTTCATGGGTAGTTATATGTAGGGTTACAAGTCCCCTAAGTAAGGTTATAAGTATAGTTACTCTACTTATAACCCCACTTATAACTACCCATGAACCTCCAAGTAGAGTCACCCCTGCAGAAGCCTTGAGCCATCCACACCTTTGCCTTGAACACCCTGAAGACACTCAACCCCTCTAAACCCTAAACCCTAAACCCCTAAACCCCCAAACCCTAAACCCTAGACCCCTAAACCCCCAAGCCCCTAAACCCTCTCAATACCAAGGAAGCGGTGTTTAAGCTTGGGGCTTTGGGTATACAGAGCTTTGAGCTCTGGGCTTATCCTAGAAGCAATGGCCTAATGATATACGGTTTCGGGTTTAGGGTTTAGTTAGGATTTAGGGTCCTTTTGAACAGCCTTCAAGAAGACTTCCACGAGAAAATGGGGCCTGAACGAGTAGAAGACGGTGTTGGTGATATGACAGCATAACGATAGAAGGACTATAAATAACGGGATACTCTTAATACTTATTCCGGTACCCCTAATCCCAAAACCCAAAACCCACAACCCAAACCCCTAAACCCTAAACCCTAAACCCTAAACCCTAAACCCTAAAAACCCAAACCCCTAAACCCCAAACCCAAGCCCAAACCCCTAAACCCAAACCCCTAAACCTAAAACACTAACCCCTAAACCCTAAACCCTAAACCCCCAAACCCCCCAAGACCCTAAACCCCAATAAACCCTAAACCCCTAAACCCAAAAGCCTCATCTCATCCAGGTAGTTCCCTTTGGCGAACTCGACAATTCCGGCCTCAGTCCGCTCGCTGAGGCAAAGAGTTAAATTAAAGGAAGCTACAGGTGGGGGAGTTTAGGGTTTAGGGGCTTAAGGGCTCTTATTGTAAGGACTCTGCTTAGGGTTTAGGGTTTATTTAAAGGAAACTATAGCTGGGAGTTTAGAGCATCAGAAGCCCCCTAGAGTCCTGGCAATCTGGAAGCTTGCATACTTGACGATCCCTCCTGTATGGTTCTGGTATAATATACCCGAAAATCCTATTCTGACTGCTTTCTAAACGGCTGTAGAACCCTTGTAGTAACGGCTTTAGAACAATATTTCGAACCCATAGAACCCTTTAAAGCAACCCAACTGCAACGGTTGAGGCCTTATACCTTGAAGCCTAAAGCCACGCCTAGGGCCAGACGTCCAACATAGAGTCGCCTTGAGCATTGGAGACGTCGACGCCCGACAGCACCTCCCACGGCTTCGGGTTTAGACTTTGGGCTTTGCAGTTTAGGTTTTGGGGGTTAGGAGTTGTAACGGGCTTTGGTGGGAATACCGGAAGGTTGTAGAAGGGCTCACTATTTTTGATTGGTGGCTTGTCGGGAGAACCTTGCCAATTTTCGAAGGCGGCTTGCCCTTTGTTTGGGAATTCGAAGGCCGGCGGCTTGAAGTCACAGGCTTTACTGAGGGGCTGAGTACCCTAGCCCCAAAAAAGGTGAACCTTTCAAGTATGCTAGGATTATATAAGCCCAAAAAAAGATTAACCTTTCAAGTATGGTAGGATTCTATAAGCCCCAAAAAAGGTTAACCTTCCAATTATGCTAGGATTCTATAAGCCCAAAAAACGGTTAACCTTCCAAGTATGGTAGGATTATATAAGCCCAAAAATGACATAAAGGTTAACCTCTCAAGTATGGTAGGATTCTAGAAGCCCCAAAAAAGGTTAAAGGTTAAAGGTTACCTATTCAGCTGCTGAGTATACGGTTGTGTCATCGAGTGTTTCCAGACTGGGCTGTGGCACAAGGAGCTTCGGGAACCTCACATCACATAATGTTGCCAATACTATTTTGGGGCTCCTTATGATTATCATTACTATTATTATGAATATTATTATTATGATTATTATGTTATGATGATGATTGTTATTATTATCGAATATTGGAGCCCAAAACCCTATTCTAATTATTTAAGGCCCCTTTACGATCCGGAGCTAGTCGCACTGACATGAGAAACACAGCCCCCTTTGCTCTCTTCAGCTCGCTTGCCGCTCCGCGCATCTCTGTAGAGTCGTCGAGGGAGACAGCTTTCGAAGATGCTCGACCACTCCTTGCCCTGGTGTCGCTCGATGAGGATCTGCATCACCACCTGGGCTCTTGTTGGGGAACTTTGCTTTAAGCTACAATAATCAAGAAACCCTGTTACGTTCTATAGATCCCTATTCTGGTAACTTCCGTTAAACTCCAGAAGAGCCCAGCCACGTCGATGTTGAGGATGGGATGAAGACCCTTCGGGCCGTACTCCTTGAGCGGCAACTTCCGCAGCTGCAGGTCTTGATCCTTTGCCTGGTCGAAAGTCCTTTTCTTCTGAACCCTTCGGTCCACGAGGCCCCCGATGACGTAGATCTTGTCTTCATCGATGGTCTCGAGGCATTCTGTGGCATCCGGCGAGAGGATGACCAGATCCCCTGAGCTGAAGCGTTCCCAGACGCTCTCCTCATGCACATGCACCTTCCACCCCGAGAGCCCACTGTTGGCCAAATGTGCCCTGGCTGGATTCTGAGCGTCTAAGGAGGTCAGGTGCAGCTGGAAATTCGCTCGCAGGCGCTTCAGAAGTGTGTACACTAGCTTCACCTGTTGGGCCAGGGACATGTTTTCCCGGTCTCCCATAAAGTCCCCGAAGCTGCAATTGATGACAACTCGCGGGCGACCTTGCTCAAAGGCTCGTTCCAGGCTTTCTTCCATCTCAACTTGCTTCCGCCTCTCTTCGAAGAAGTATGCCCGCCTGGGATGTGAAAGAAGCTCCTAATGAACACGGATTAGTTCTATAGGGGATCATCTTATCCCCAGAAAGTTTAAAGTGTAGTAACTCAGCTACTAAAAGTTACCTGCAACAAAAGCTTTGAAAACGAAAAACCCTAAACCCTAAAAACCCTAAACCTAAATCATAAACCCTAAACCCTAAAATACCCTAAGCCACTTCTCTTCCTCGCTCATCTTTGAAAGCAGCTCCTGGCGGGCCTTCTTCCGACGGAGGGCGGCCTTGCGCCGCTCCTCGGCGCGGCCAGCCTTCCGCTTTTTCCTGGGTTCTTGCCATGATGGAGGTTAGTTTATCTTGGTAGGGGGTTTATAGTTTAAGTTGATCATAATAAGGAAACCATATATAGTATTTGCTATAGATCCTAGGGGGGTTTAGGTTAAGTTATCATAATACTCATAAGAAGAAGAAGAATAAGAATAGTAGGAATAACAATAATAACAATAATAAGAATAAGAGAATAATAATACTTATAATAATAAGAAGAAGAGTAAGAAGGAAACCATATATTTTTTACTATAGATCCCTATGCTCTATATATTATGGCAACTTAAATTCACCCCTTTATAGCCAGAACCCAGCTTCTTCATCTCCTCAAACCTCTGCTCCCTTCGCCACTGCCGCCTTTCGGATGGCGACAGCTTGCCGGGGGCCGGAGGCAAGGGAGGATAGGAGCGCCGGCGCGGCGGCCGCGCCACGGCCGGCTTCACCTGGGTGCTTGTTTTTAGGGGTTTTGTTTCACTGACTCTAATAGGGCTCAGGGTTCAGGGTTTAGGGTTTGGGTTCTTGTTAGGGGTTTTTGCTTAAGTTACTCTAATAGGGATCCATAGCAAATAAGATGGTTTCTTTATTATGGTAGCTTAACTTAAATCCCTTACCAAGAACCCAGTCACGATTTGGGGTTGTGGCGTTTGGGGCGCTGTGCTTTGGCGCCTGCCGGGCGCCTTTCTCAGGCGCTGGTACCAGCTCCGGAGCGGCTTGGTTGAGGCGGCCCAGAAGCCCAGCAGCCAAGACCAGAGACGAGGGCGTTTGGAGGCTCGATTTCCATCACCGGCCCCAGCCCGGAGCCGAACGCCTCGGTAGTTTTTGTTGGGGGGGGGAGGGGGGGGGCCTCATGGAGTAGGGCTTTGAGGTATATGATGATAATAATACGAACGAAAATTTTAGATAAACAAAAAGGAGCCCTAAGGGATAATATTGGTCATTCTTCAAGCTTCTAGAGTAGTCCAGTCCATGAGGTTTGCTCCAGACGACAACTTCGCGTAGGACGGGCCCTCCTGGCGCCAACATGGCGATGCCTAGCTGACTTGCCATGCTCTTTCCAGAAAGCTGACTGCTGCATGAGCGCAGGCGGATGCTTCCGACAAATGAAGTCATTGAAGTGCATTGAGCTTAAGTACCCATAAAATGTAAAATGTTACCCAACTATGATAAAGTGAAAGCAACCGATTTTGGAGTGGTTGATGAACATTACATACGAAACAAGAATTCTTCGCATGCTGAATCCCTGCTCTAATCTAATGGACTCAGCTACACGCATACATACACGCATAGTTTGTTGATCATGCTAAACTCTGGGCTTTTCTATCCGCCGGGTTGCAAAGATGCATTTGCCCACCTTCCTGGTGGGTTGGCGGTGCTATTTACAGCCAAGGGGGCGAGGCCTAGGCTAACTCCTGTTTAGGGTTTAGGGTTTAGGGTTTAGGGGGCTGATGGAGTGTGGCTCTTGGTTGGAGTGATGGAGGACTTAGAGCATGTTTGAGAAAAGAGAAAACCATGACAGACATGAGAGGAAGATAATTCATACATGCTGGCGTTGAAAGGCGTCCGTTTTCGTCTTCTTACGCCGGAGAGGAAACTCCACACCATGCGACCAAATGCATGATAGCCTGCACTCTTACTTCCTATCCGCCAAACAATGAAACAAGATCACACAACAACCCTACAATTCACCGTCGATGCTAGATTCAACTGAAGAAAACCCCGTCATAGTCACACCACGGCAAACAAACCATAAACCCGAATTGGGAGGGGGCCTGATTAATGACAATCTTAATTCTATACTATCATACAGCCGCTAACCTATTCAAAATGCAAGGCCCCTAGAAGTCCTAGAATCCCAAAAGCCTCATAGAACCATAGAGAACCCTCTGAAGGAACCCATAACGAAACCCTACTTTGACCATGCAAGGTCCCAAATGAACCCGAAACCTATTCAGATTACTAAGGCCCCATATTCAAAACTGCAAGATCCTGTATCCTACACCCTAAACCCCCAAAACCCTAATCCCTAAACCCTTCCTTATCTGTATCCTAAACCCTAAACCCTAAACCCTTATCTGTATCCTAAACCCTAAACCCCTAAACCCCTATAGAACCCTCCTAAGAACCCTAAACCGTAAACCCTTATAGAACCCTCCTAAGAACCTGAAAGAGCCCTCTTCGCAACCCTCGAGGTGGCTTTCACCGGCGACGCGCTTCTCGTGCGGAGCTGCGGTTCCTTGGAGACTCTAGGGGTTGAGGGTTTAGGGGTTTAGGGGTTTAGGGTTTAGGGGTTTATGGGTTTAGGGTTTAGGGGTTTAGGGTTTATGGGTTTAGGGTTTAGGGTTTATGGGTTTAAGTTTAGGGGTTTAGGGTTTATGGGTCTATGTAGGGTGTAGGGGTTTAGGGTTTGGGGTTGGTATGCTAGGGGTCTATACCTATCGTCTCCATTGTAGTTCTTTTTGGGGCTACCTTACAGAGTCTTAATTTGAATGAAGCAAAAAACAGGGAACTTCAACGGAGACTGTAGGCAAGGGCTTAGGGGTCGCGGCAAATATGCATTCAATCAAGGGTTCCATAAAGGTTACAGGGGGGCGGTTCAGTGGCAGTCTTTGCCGGGCCCTTGTAGGGCCGCATGGCACTAGACTAGTTTTTACTTATTTGATTGTGCAGGGTTTAGAAGTTACTGCAACTGAATCGTTCCAATGTTCGTTGTACCTTGCTACATGGCTGATCCTCCTGTTGCTATACCCAATTGAACGAACGCAGACAACATGAAGCTTGAATCAAACATCGCTGCGTCGGTGGACAGCTCCATGGGTGCACCGACAGTGTCGCAAAATAGCGAGGCCATGATGGCCATGCTGCCTTGGGAACGGTCCTAGCTCAGCTGCAGGGTTTTGGAACGCCGCTCCTGTAGTTGCTGCATTGACCATATTAGCAGACAGTGTTCTGCTGCGACACGCTGCTCTGACACAAGCAACCTCGTCTTTAACAGTGATGGTGCGAGGTGAGGTTGCAAGCTGCAAGGGATTTCGCTTTGGACTGTTGATGGATTGTTGGATCGGTTCGGTGCTTAGGTGTGACATCGATGTCGCGCCTCACCCCGATGTCGCTCTGGATGGTTCAATGCCGTGAGCTTGTTATAGAGTCCCCTGTCGTTCGATATGACTCGACTATCTCCCAAGCTGCGAAGACAGGAAATTATGATTTGATTACGGCCGGGTCAGAGACGGCAACTCCGAGAACCCGAAGCCTTACACCCTCACGCCCCTACACCCGAACACTCGAGCGCCCGAAAATCCGAACCCTCAAGCCCAGAGCAAGAGAGAGAGAGAGAGAGAGAGAGGCAGCGATGACACGCCAAGGTTGCACCGACTTCGAGGAAGGAACCCTGGCCTCAGCTCAGAATCTATGGTTTAGTTTAGGCTTTCTGATGTAGTATAGGGGTCGGAATTTCTGTAGTGTAGCAGTATTCCCTCATAGACCCTCACATAGATCGTGTATAACATACCCCAATTGCGTAAACCCTGTGCTACTTCTTCAGGCCCCGACCTTGCGTGAAGCAAGCAGAAAGACAACACAAATGGTGACCAGCTGAGTGTCGCTCTGTTACATGTGCATGCATGTACACACACACACTCACTCACAGATATATATATATATACATACACACAGATAGATAGCGGCTGTATAGACGCGGTCTATGTATATTTATCTATCTCTAGGTATATGTACATGTGCACATATGTACATGTACATTGTCACAACATGTATAATAAAATGTTCATGCATTTGTACATGTGTATGTATACTTATGTGTATATAAACATTATATACATATATATATATACATATGTATTTCAGTTAAATTGCACAAATACCTTTACATATATACATACAAGTATATGTTCTTGTATGCAGGGATGCATGGATGTCGGGTATGGTATGGTATGGTACGGTATGGTATGGTATGTATGTAAGTATGCATGTATGTGTGTGTGTGTGGACATACATACATACATACATGCTTACATGCTTACATACATACATACATACATACATACATACATGCACACAAGCACATGCACATGCACATGCACATGCACATGCACACACGCATACACACATACACACATACACACATACACGCACACACACACACACACGTATACGCACACATACATACATACATGCATGCATACATACATTCATATATCCATACAGACGTACATACACGCACACATATTATTTGTTTAATCTTAATACTTACTTGCTCTCTGCAATGATGTCTCTCTCTACCTGACATATCCAGAGGCCTTTCAAACCGTATAGGCATATTGAAGGGAGTGGAAGCGCCGAGAACCCATCCGCCACCATGCTGACGTCAGGCAATGCCGGACAGCTGTACGACAGCGTCCACCGCGAGATCTTCAGCTTGGACCCGGACACTCAAATATTCCCGGGCAGGGATCTCGGCTCTCATGGCACCTCGTATTTTGAGTTGCGGTGGGTTCTACAAGGCTCGCTCATACCCCTTCAGCGATACAAGCTATACATCACAGCGGTTCTCCAATATCCAAGACTGGAGTGTTGACTGTCGTTAAATTAGATTCATTAGGTAACTCAATTTTTGGGTCAGTGCTTATTCCCTGGCAGGTCAACCCCCGTTGCAGGGTCACATGCAGGTCTCAAGCGACTGCTTGTTCAGTTCTGAGCGGTGCCTGCGAGTGGGCCTTTACTTTGCCTAATTTGCTGGGCACGGAATTTCGTTGAAAGACAGGGATCTTGCCATGTTGCACTGGTCACAATATAGACATTGAGCACACAACAACAAATCGCGCCTTGATCGAACGAGACAGTCGGTCCGGACAGCAAGAGATATCAACTTTCTTTGCCATGGCCATGCAGCGGCGCCAGCTGCAGAAGGGCAACGACAGCTGCCACTGCTGCTACTGCTCCTGCTAGTACTAGTACTCGTGTTAATATTTGTACTACGATTGCGGACCATTGTGACTGTTAGGACTACTACGACGACGACGACTACTACTACCCTACTCGTACTACTTCTATTGCTTGTGCTATGGCTACTGATACCGCATTACCGCGGCTACTACTGCTACGGCTACTGCTCCTACTGCTGCTACTGCTACTACTACTGCAAATGCCTATTGCCACAGCTACTGCTACTTGTGCTGCTGTCGCTATTGCCTACCAAAAGAAGTGCATGGCAGCCAAGCATGACCCTAGCGTAGAAGCATCTGTGAGGTCCTTTCGTCACTAAATGTGGGGAGTAGAAGAATGCAGATGGTCATAATTCAATCATTAACCCTGAGCCTCAAACCCTTAATCTAGATCCTCAGCCCTCTAAGCAGCGTGGTTCTCAACGACTGCTTGAGGCCACGAGTACAGCGGACGGAACAACTCCACAGTAGGCGAAGAGAAGGCCTGGGTTACAAGGATTCGACGGTATACAGGGCTTAGGCTTTTTAGGGCTGCATGACTGAGGGTTTTAGTTAAGTTATGGTTTACGTGTGAGAGTAGAGGGTCTGAAGGTTTTAGGACTGTGATAGAGAATCCCATTTTAAAGTTTTCAGGTAACCGAAGTCATATACTACAGTTGTGGTTCGTTGGGTGATATAGATGTTGCAGCAATTCGCGATAATGCCGATCGTCTGATCCTCATAAGTTTGTACAGAAGTATTCTGCAACACCCTTCTCTACGCATCGGCCCTACATTGCGGGGTTTTGGGGACGTTCCACAAGGGTGCCGAAGTCTTCGAGGGTCCGGGGGCCTGCTCTGAGAACGCACTGCGACCTTAGAGTCCCAGTTACAAGAGCTGCGAAGTCCTTATTATTATTGCTATTGTTATTATTCTTATTATTATTGTTACCACTATTATTTTTATTCATCTTATTCTTACTATTTTTATTACTAAACCTGCCAAAAAGAGTGGAGGGTCCTGGCCCCTTTGTGTTGTACTCTTGTATTTCTGCATCCTTCCTTAGGTGAAGAGATGTACATACTG